GCCTGTAGTCCCAGCTACTCAGGAGGCTGAGGCAAGAGAATCACCTAAGCCTAGGAGTTGGAGGTTGCTGTGAGCTGTGACACCACTGCACTCTACTGAGGGTGATAAAGTGAGAGTCTGTCTCAAGGAAAAAAGAAAAGAAACAGGTGAAATTAATTAATTTTTTTTTTTTTTTTTTGAGACAGAGTTTCACTTCATCACCCTGGGCAGAGTGTTGTGGTGTTACAGCTCACAGCAACCTCCAACTCTTGAGCTTAAGTGATTCTCTTGCCTCAGCTTCCCAAGTAGCTGGGACTACACGCGCCTGCCCAGCTATTTTTTGGTTGTAGTTGTCATTGTTTGGCAGGCCCGGGCTGGATTCGAACCCACCAGCTCTGATGTATGTGGCTGGCGCCCTAGTCACTGAGGTACAGGCGCCGAGCCAAATTAAATTAATTTTAATAACATTCTTTAGCCCAGTATATCCAAGGTATCATTTCAAAATGCAATCCAACATAAACACTATTTGTGAGATCGTTCAAACCTCTGGTTTTCCTTGCACTAAGTCTTGGGATACTGTTGAATATTTTGTGTTTGCAGCCCATCTCAACACAGACCAGACAGAGACACATGTTAAGTGCTAAGTGGCCTTGTGTGTCCAGGGTCTGCCATTCTGGACATTGAAACCCTGAGAGGTCTTTAATGTTAGCCTAATATCACAATTGTTAGATCACTTGAAGATTTGTTGGAAAAGGCGGCTGCTTTCTCACTTCTAGCAGGTTGTTGCCACATGTAGGTTTTTTTTCCCCACGTGTACCTGGAAATTTTAATTTGTACGTTCTCTGGCTTTTAAAACATTGTCGGGTAAAACGTTAAAAAAAAAAAAAAAAAAAGCAAACCTCGTGTGCGTGTTCCAGACCAAGTATCACTGTGAACCCTCTCTGGCTCTTGGGCCTCCAGTTTGCAACTGGTTGAGGGTGAGTGGTCTTCAGATCTGTTTCATGAGTAGGTAGCCACATGCGGCTAGAATTACGTTAAGGGAAGGTAAATACAATGTAAAATTCAGGTCCTCATACCCACTAGCCACATCTCAAGAGCGCAGTAATATGGCTAGTGGTTGTCGAGTTGGACAGCGCACAGATTCCAGAACATCTCCACCACTGCGGAATGTTCTGATGGGCAGCTAGCTCTGCAGGATGTAGCTCTGGCCGCCCTATCCCCTGCCGAGGCTCCTGTGGCTGGGCACGATAACAACCTGTTTTCTGTCTCTCCCAGTTGCCCACCCCATCACCTCTACCCTTCCGGCTCTCCTGCGGGGCGGGCGCACGGTCGTCCCCGCAGGACCCTCAGCCATCCTCAGCGCACTTCCCGCCTCCACACTACCTGCTCCAGGACAGAAGCATCACGGAGGACAAACTTTGGTCGCGGAGCAGGGCCTGGGCTGGGGCTGCATTGGCGCCGCCGCGTGCGCCCCGGCGACCTGACCCCACAACCCCCGACGCTGCTGCGCACAGGGCCGCCGCGGCTCGGTCGGCTTCCCCTTCCGCCCACTGGAAGTATCATCTTCCCCACCTCTGTATGTGGCTTGGCCTGAGTGCCTCAGTTTCCCCATAAGGTCACTGAGAAGTGCAGCCCTCACCTGCCTCCATATCCAACAACGTCTGGTCTGAGGATCTCGGTTTCCCTTCCTGCCGGGTGGAGAACCTGGGCTTGTGCTACCTATATCAGAGCATACGGCTGGCCTCTGGACCTGGCGCTGCCCATCTGCTTAGAACACGGACATACCCCTTTCTCTTCTCCTTCTACGTTGTGGGGCAGCAAAGCCCCATCAGGCGGGTAGCCCAGTGGGAAGAGGACAAACCCGGGCGCGCCAATTACTCTGGGATTTCGGGCAAGGACTTCACTTAAATTCAGTTTGTTCGCCGATCTCTATCAAAGCAATTGAATCGTTGTTGTTCGGAAGGTGAGAAAGGGAGGAGGGCGACTGGCCTATTCAGCCGAGCGGGTGCCCACCGTCCCACGCCCTCCGGGGCGCTCCGTAAAGGCTGGTCTTCGGGAACTGCCGCCTCAGAGGCGGCGGAACTTTCGCGAGGAGTTCGCGCGTTTCCGGCCGGCTCCCTTTCTCAGGGACGCCGCAGCCCCTCGCGCCCCCGCGCCCGAGCCCCTAGTCCCCGCGTCCCCGGCGCCTCCGGCCCGGAGCTGCCCGGAAGTCTCGGTCCCGCCGCCGGCGCTCTCCAGGGAAAGCCCGGGGCCACCTGGGACCTCGGCCCGCTCCTCCGGACCTGAGAGGCCGCTGCACCGGGTACGGGGGCCGGGATGGAGGGAGGAGCCTGGTTCCGGGACGGCGCAGAGGCCGGGCTGGGCTGGGGGAAGTGAGTTAGGGCCACTGGGGTCCGGCTGGATGGGCAAGAAGACAATAAGAAGGTCCCCCGGGGGGTGTAGCCGGATGGTAGTGTGCATGGCGCCCGGGCGCTGGTGTGCACCGATGGAAGGGTAGTAGAGCAAAAGAGAAGAGGGTGGAGGGGCCGTACTGTGTAACGGAGGGATGGGACTCTCCTCCCAGAGTTACAGAGGAAGAGAAATAGAGACGCCAGATTATCTAGAAAGGAGGGAAAGGGTGCTTGGGTGAGGTAGAGTAGGAAGGGAATCTAACGGTCCAGATATGTATAACGGAGCGTGGAAAGAGGCCTCAAAAGGGTATAGAAAGAAGCCAAAATGTGTCATGTATGGGGAGAAGAAAAGGGGACCCTTGGGAGAAATGTGACAGGTACAAGATACGGAGAGGGGAGCCCTGTGGGTATATAGAAAGCATTTGGGGGCATCCTGGGGGTTTATGGATGAAATAAAGACGGAGTGGCGAGACCTTGAGGGGCTAAGCATAGGAACAGGATAGAAGAGCCTAGTGAAATGTGGGGAATTGGGTTAGTGGGGCTCTGGGATGTACCTAAAGAGGAAGTGAAAGAGGGCAGCGACGTACGCTGAGATGGAGAGGTCCTTAGGCATCTAATAGGATGCAGATCTGGAAGTGTCTGGGGGAGGGAGGGGAGAGGATGCAGCCAGAGCCGGTCTGGATTTGGGGAGAAAAAGACACACACATGAGAGAAATCTTGGATTGTCCAGAGTGAGAGATGCAAAGAGGGAGATAGTTTTTCATCTTGGGGATACAGAGAAAACAAACTAGAGGGAAATAGATTTGGAGATTGCCTGTTGGGGATGAGGGAAGGGGAGGGAAGGAAAGGAAAGTGGGAGACCAACCTGGGGGCCGAGAGGACGACCCATTAGGAAGGGCAGGTCGTGGCCCGGTTTTGCTGGGCTCATTTGGAGGCCATTCTTAAAGCAGCTTGATGGAACTGGGAGATCTGAACTGGACTCAGAGTTTTTATTATGTTGGGGTCAGTAGCGCAGAAAGTGTGTGAGCATGGGGACACTTTCCCTTTCAGGAAGCTTTTTCTAAAAGGAAGTGGCGATTTTAACTTCTCTCCCCTCCGCCGCTCTCAGCTGCCGCTCCAGATGCTGCTTCTGCCGCCGCGGCCACCCCACCCTCGGTCCTCCTCTCCAGAGGCCATGGACCCACCGCCTCCCAAGGCGCCCCCTTTCCCCAAGGCGGAAGGCCCCTCTTCCACTCCTTCCTCGGCAGCAGGGCCCCGACCCCCGCGGCTGGGCCGCCACCTACTCATCGACGCCAACGGGGTTCCCTACACATATACGGTGCAGCTGGAGGAGGAGCCCCGGGGCCCGCCCCAGCGCGAGGCACCCGCGGGAGAGCCCGGCCCACGTAAGGGCTACAGCTGCCCGGAGTGCGCCCGTGTCTTTGCCAGCCCCCTGCGGCTGCAGAGCCACCGCGTGTCGCACTCGGACCTCAAGCCCTTCACGTGCGGCGCCTGCGGCAAGGCCTTCAAGCGCTCCAGCCATCTGTCGCGGCACCGCGCCACGCACCGTGCCCGCGCCGGCCCACCGCACACCTGCCCGCTCTGCCCACGCCGCTTCCAGGACGCCGCGGAGCTAGCGCAACACGTGCGCCTCCACTAAGCTCCACCTGGCCGGTGCTGCTCTGCCCCTTTCTGGGCCACCAAGTCTGACCTACACAGCGTCACTCCCACACACATTCCCTGGCTCTGCTGAGGTTACTGCCTTACTTTGGGCCTCAGTTCCCCCATCTTCCAAAGGGACAAACATCATTCCCTCCACTTCCCCACCCCTTCTAGCTGTGTGATGTAAACCAAAGTCGTTGCCCCTCCTTGGACTTGGGAGCCAGTCGGAACTGGGTTCCGGTCCAGCTGTGCTGTGAACCTTTGCAAGTGAAGTGACCTCTCTGAGCTATGGTTTTCTGCTCTCCAAAGTGGTGAACCGCTTGTCCTAAAGGGGAAGAGTTAACAAAAGAGCCGGGGCACGGTCTGGTTCATTTATATATCTCCCCCAATTCTACCCACGACCTCCATCACCCTTTGCTCAATAAACATTCCACACTCCATTTCAGGCTCCTGCGTGTGTGTGGTGGGGGGTGCGGGGTGGGTGACCGGACCTCAAACATGTAGGAACCTTCCTCTTGGAGTGTGTTTCTGGCCGGAGGTGTTTCGCGAAGGCCCAGGCGCCCCGCCCCCACCTTCCTCTCTTGGACCCTCCTTTCTTTTCCCGGGTTCTCTCTCTCCTTACCCGGAGCTGCCTGCTCCTAGTGGACACCCGGAGGTCCCCCTCCCGCCGCCGCCTGCAACTACGAGGGCATCCCGGGGCCGTGTGGAGTCGCCCGGACCGGAGAGGCTGCTGCACCGGGTACGGGGGCCGGGAGGAGGGTGCTGGGAGAGGGCGACGGAGAGGGGCGGGGCCGGGTGGAGGGTACCTGCAAGCAAGGCGGGCGTTCACAGGGGCCTAGTCCTGGGGTTCCTAGGGGCTTTTCAAGAACTTAGATACAAAGGTTCAGAGGCAAGGGCCACAGTGCTGGGAGAGCACTGGGTTAGAAAGAGCTAGGGGTGGTGGTAGATGGGCGAAGACTAGAGGAAACCTGGAGGTGGGTGAGAGGAGAGGCATAAAGTTGTTTATGGAGGAGGCTAGAAGGCGGGTTAGAACTGGGGCATCCTAAGGTTGCATTCCACTGGAGTAAGCTTGCGCTTATGCAGAGGGGGTAGGAAAAGCATCTGAGTGGAGTGTGTAGGATGGACCAACACTCAGACCCAGGTGAAGCCAAGATGTAGGGAGAAGAGGTCTGGAGGTCTATGGGGTGGAGCCCTCAGTGGCCTGAGGAGAGCACATAGGGGAAAGACATCGAGGTCCTGGTTGTGCATAGCCAGCAAAGAGATCCTGTGAGTACAGTGAGTAGTGGGGCACCGAGGAAAGGCGAGGTTTTCAAAGGGAGATCCTGGGAACCTTATAGAGGGTCACAGAGTGGAAGGGTGGGTAGAAGAATGGGAGAGATTGATGGGCAGGGATCCTGGACAGGGTACACAGAGGGAAGAGTGGAGCCCGTGGTGTCGAGCATCTCTCTTCTGTGTAATATTCTCTCTCCCATCCACCAGGCCTCAGTCACCCCTCCGGATGCTGGCGCTGCTGTCCCCCTGCCCTCAGCCCCTGGTACTTTCCTCCCGTGAGGCCATGGAGGGCCCTCCCCGTCGGATGGGCCGGTCCCCAGAACCTGCATCTTCCTCCTCAATGGGATCTCCCCAGACTTCATCCCCGCCGAGGCCCAATCACTACCTGCTTATTGACACACAGGGTGTCCCCTACACAGTGCTGGTGGATGAGGAGTCACAGAGGGAGCCAGGGGCTGATGGCACTTCAGCCCAAAAAAAGTGCTACAGCTGCCCCGTGTGTTCAAGGGTCTTTGAGTACATGTCTTATCTTCAGCGACACAGCATCACCCACTCAGAAGTGAAGCCCTTCGAGTGCAACACCTGTGGGAAGGCATTCAAGCGGGCCAGCCACCTGGCGAGGCACCACTCCATTCATCGGGCTGGTGGCGGGCGGCCCCATGGCTGCCCACTCTGCCCTCGCCGCTTTCGGGATGCAGGTGAGCTGGCCCAACACAGCCGGGTGCACTCAGGGGAGCGCCCGTTTCAGTGCCCGCATTGTCCTCGCCGCTTCATGGAGCAGAACACGCTGCAGAAACACACTAGGTGGAAGCATCCTTGAGCCAGGCCGCTGGATGCCCCGGTGCAGTGGAACTCTGGGGGAATCCTGTGCCTGGAGGTTGGCTTTCTTCCAGGCCCTGGATATTAACACAGATCAGTCTCATCCCAGAGGCCAAGCCCTGCCTGGAGGCGGAGCCTGTGAGTAATCTTCAGATCCTCGGGTCTCAGAGCTTTGATGTGAATGAGATCTCATATAGAATAGAGCTCTCTAGCCTCAAAGATATCAGATATTCCATGGCCATGGCAAAGCCTTGACTGGAGGGGTGGGGGTGGGGAATGTCCAGTGTGTGGATATTCTCTGGCCTTATAAACTTGGCTGGGGTCTCCATGCTGATGATGTTGGGGAGAGGGGTCCCCAGACTGGTCTGCCAACGCCCAACCATGCCTGAGACTGGACAAACAATAAACACATTTTCCCACTTGAGCACTTGACATTTGTTTTTGGAGACAGCATCTTAGCCCACCTTTGATGGCTAATAAGCACGGAGGCCCCCAGCAAGTGCCTGTTTCACCGTTGGCCTCTTCTTGGCTTGCTGAGGGATGGTAAAGTCAGTAACACTGGGGTGGTGCCTCAGCTCCTGAAAACCTGTGTCATTTGGGAAGAGTATTTCTTTTT